TTTCTTCACCTCAAACAAACTAGGATGGCAAAGTTGCTATCTAAGAATTCTTGATAGTCTTTAAAAATATTCACATTAATAACTTCATTTGCTTGTGTAGCTTGTATATATTTATATATATCCTAAAAATTAGTATTCAAGGTTGCCTACGACAATATGCAAGAAATGAAGAAGCGGAGAAGATAAAATATAATTCTCTTCTAACGCGACATACCTCTCCTCCAACTATGCATAGTTTCCCATATTTTCACAAACAAGAGTTCCGATTTAGGAAAGATAGGATCTGTGTGATGAATAAACCATCCGGTCTTGAGTGACGTCAATTAAAACAAATCTCCTAATAATGACATTTTTAGAGTAGATAATTGTTTTAACTTTGACTTATTGGCTGATGAACATGTAATCAAGAAGCTGCATTTGCTTCTAGACTTCTACGAAGCTTTGATGCACAAAGACACCCCGCAAAGTGGGTCAGCACAGGCTCTATGCGTTAAAGTAGACCAACCGCCAGAGGGTACAGCTGGGAAAAATAGACTCACCAGATTTATAAATTATTCATAAGTAGTACTCATTTTATCTTAAATGGTAAATTGCATACACAAGCATGAGGTTTGTGAAATTTTCAAGAATAACTACATTGTTCATTTACAGGTTCAAATTATTCCAGAATTATTGATATCAAAATAATACAAACAAATGCTACACACTTACAGAATATAACTTTAATTGCATCAAATGTTCTAGTTTTAAGTATATTATGAAAAGGTCACTTGATAATGAATGTGAACTTGGTTTAGCCTAGGCCAATTGAGATGATAAATTTGGTGAGAACTGATTTACCAAAATGAAATAAGTTGGTTCCACAGTTTCACCGCCTTCAAAGACTACTTATTTGATAATAAGTAATATAGTGGCTTGCAATTGCATTTTCTCTTGTACATGTGCCTGCATGGAGGAGAGATAAGGCGAGGTCGTTGGAAAACCACTACTTGGTCTAGACTCGTGTTGGAGGAGCTGAGGTGATCTGGGCATGGCAAAATCAGATGATATTCAAAAGAGTTGTGGCATCTTCATAACTTATTGTAGAATAATTCAAGAATTATTTTAAAATTAGGTTATATAATGTGAGGAGTTTTGAATCCTGCAGACTTTTTTTGGCTTTGCATATGTTTAACTGGATAACTTGCATACTCTGGCGATGTTGGGCCACAGTAAGACAAAGAAAATCTAAAATCTGCGACAGTGGGCAGAAGACGTCTTCCCATTAGGCAAACGTACAACTGCGAGGTCATTGTGCTCTTTCAGTTTCCGCCCATCCTTTGCTTCGAAATGAAAAGTCCAGCTATGCGAAGTCATTAAAGAAATCGTCGGAGACTTGTAACGCTATCTTATGGGAGCATCAATGTTGAGTGATTAATAAGTGATCTGTAGGGCTGTATGTGGGGCTGTAGGGCAATCCAAGCTCATGACGAGGGTGACGCCTATCGAGGATGAAGCCAGAGTTTTTTGTCGAGGTGGAATGTGCCTAACTTTTGATGGACTTACAGACTCCTCCTCCTTTCCGGCGATCGCAATGTTGCCTTCCTCCGCTGTTTCCGCCGCCTCGAGGCAGAGAACCGGAGCTATGCAAGAAGCCGAGACTTCTGTCTCGTCCGGCTCCGTCGTGACAGTCGACTGCGAGGCTTGAGACGACATTTTGCCGGTTTCCAGACCCGGCAGAGGCGACCTCTGTCATGTCGAAGGTGACCCCGGCTCCAAGACCTTTCGTCATCGCCATGTCGCCCAGCTCTTCTCTGCTAGCGCCTGGCACAAAAGTGGAGTGGACGGGGTTGGTAAAAGAGGAGGGAGAAGGTTTTAGGCGATCATATCAGCTTCACATTGTCAGGCCAATGATACCGAATGAAAACAGTGTTGTTGAGTTTACTTCCATTTCGGGTGAAAGTGTCGGGTGAAGAGATTCGAAGCTCGGTTCCACCAGAAGACGACGGCAAATTCTTTTTGACCAGCTGTCGATTGGCTTTACTGAAACATTCATGCTGACGCTGTTTCCGAAACAATCTCGTTCGATTCCGGTGAAAAGGTGGTAAGCTTTCGTCCGTCAAATGACGAACATCATCAGAGCAAGGTATCATCGTCACAACCAAATTCAAGTTAACGAGTCAAGAAAACTCACCGGCAAATCCCTAAAAAGTGGTACATCTGACCTCTTTGATCAAGTATAAGAGTTTTCTTGACTCGTCAGCTCGAATTTTGTTGTGACGATGCTACCTGGCTCTGATAATGTCCGTTATATGACGGACGAAAGCTTAACACCTTTTCACCGGAATCGAACGAGATTGCCTTGGAAACAGCGTCAGCATGAATCATGCAGTAAAGCCAATCGACAGGTGGTCTAGAGAAATCCGCCATCGTCTTCTGGTGGAGCCTACCTTCGAAACACTTCCATTCGAAATGGAAGTTAGCTCAACAATTATGAAACAAGAGATTGCTCGAAACCCAACTTTTCTTTGAAAACAGTGTTGACCAAATTTCGTTTGAGGTGATGAAGGATTGGTAGTTGAAGTTTACCTACAATCAAGTAAGTCGTACTCCCGAGTTCATTTCTTAATCAGTTTAACTGAGTGATAACCTCGGCAGGATAGCTATAATCACGCTTAGAGTGCTGATGAGACCAGTTCAGGCGAGGCTGGGATGAGAATACCGTTTGGGGAATAAGTCTTGATGAAATTCTAATGCAGATTGCAATTTTTGTCATCACCCAAAACGGAAAAGTTGAGTATAGTCCCTATTCAAGATCTACCGATAGTATCGAAAGCCTACTTACAAAAGAGAACAACCATACCGAGCTATTCACTTGACTGTAATTAAGGCCGTCGTCAGCCCAGGCTGGTGAAGTTTCTGAAAGACAAATAGTGGAATTTCGCCTAATAAACGGAGTAAGCCTCGAGAAAATAGTGAACTTCATCTGGTTAGCATCGTTACATCGTCACATCAACCCCACTAACGGGATTCGAAATGCATGAGAATTCAAGTAATATCGATGATACTGCCGCATAGTAAGTAGTATAAGCGATTTCAACTGTAAATACATGTGTGTCTTGTCGACAACACGATTCTCAAATAGTATTTGGAAGTCGTCTGACCTGCCTTGAATACTACACATGCCTTGAGAAGCACTAGGGTTCAGGATTGTGTTGCGGAGTAATGATGTTTGCCTATTTTAGACGCAAGATCCCGTTTAGGAGTACAGATTAATTTCGAGGAGCTGTTGCAAGTCAATTCAACTGTTTTACGAATGTTTATCTACTACCAACAAATAAACAAGTGCTATTAGGAGCATAAGAATAAAAATCAAGAAGAAAAATTCCACTTTGCCGTCGTAGTGAGTTAGTTGCTAGGAGTAACTGGGTTTCGATGAGCGATTAGCGAGATACAATTGTCGCGAAACGACGGGTGAATCCCATTGTACTGCAGCCGTTTGACCTTACACAAATGGGTTCGAATGATGGACGAAAGTTGAGTCCGTTTTCACCCGAAGTGAGGGAGCAGGTCTCGTGGACTGCGTCAACCTGAACGTCGTTTTGAAGCCGAACGACTGCAGGTTTACACGATTCATCCGTTCTTTTCTGGTAAGATCGACCTACGAATTCCTTCTTCATGCACTTTCATACAAAATGCATGTCTTCCCAACAAGTCAGTTGAGAGCAGGATCTAGAAAACAGACTTTTAATGTGCTTTCCTATCCTCAATAGTGAGTAGCGAGTAGTATGATGCGAAATCTGCGAATGACCTATTCAGCCATCGGCGACGTAATGTGTTGCAAAAGGCTTGACCGCTTCACGCTTTTACAGCCTCCTAAAACGAACGCATCTGGTGGTATGTGATAAACTAACACTTTTTTGTGTGAAGGTAAATTATGCTTCGAGGAACCTCTTGTCTCCTAATTATTGAGCCTGCCACCATTTCGCGTGAAAAGATTTGCTGAAGAGCTTCACAGGTTAATCCCACCAGAAGACTACTGCCGGCGGATTCCTCTTGCTCAACTGTTATTTGGCTGTACCGAAACATTCTGTTTGACAACGTTTTTCGAGGCAATTTCTTTAGATTTTGGCGAAAACGTGCCAACCGTTCATCCGTGGTATGATCGGAGCAGATGGTACCAAACTTACAAACATATAAAAGCCAACAGTCAAGAGGAAAATAAATTTTCTTGCCTTGTTATTCTGCATATGTTTGTAATGATGGTACCATCTATTCTGATAATACAACTGACGAAAGTTCAGCACGTTTCCACCCGAATCGAAAGAGCTTGCTTCGTACAATGTGTCAATAAGAATAGTCCAGCATAGCCAATCAACAGTTGGTCAAGAGAATTCCGCCAGTAGTACTCTTCTGGTGGGATCCAACTTTACATCTTTTCATCATACATTTTCACTCGAAATGAAGCTGAGCATAACAATTGTAGTTTGATCCTGGTGAAACGAGATCTCCTCAGCAACATTGACTCAAGGTTATTTCGCAATTTATGTATAGCTAGCACCCAATTCTTCGTCTGATTTCGCAAAAGTGGTCAAGTCAAACTCCATTAACCAAATTATGCTAGTAATGATACATTTCACGTACAGCCAACACTCCAGGGTTGGGATGAGCGATTAAACAGATGCACCGACCTCATGGATTTGTAGCAGAACCTTGCCAAATGACCAATTGTGTGTCAGCAGAGAATAGAAAGTAAACACATTTACATCTTCACTTTATTCTTTATGCATTTTCCTGCTATTTCAGGCCTTCATGTTTACTGCAATTTTTCAGCAAATGCATCGTTCTGTTGCTTAGAGCGTTCAAATGAACGCTCGAACTAGGCACCAGGCCAAGATACCAAATGTTAGTCGTGCCACCTCACCAGCCCCACATCAACAACCAATTTTGGTAGACTTATTTACTTGTTTATTTATTTATGGAAGAGGCGCAATTATTCAAGCGATTGCTAGCCGATCGTGCCGACTTCTGCCAACTCATGTCACCGGTTTGCATGGCAACTCTGCAACATTGTTCGAAACCGGTTTCACCCTGAACCGTCCAAGTGTTAGTCTGCAAAGCCCAGCTGATATTTCACTCTTTCGGAGGATTTGATACAATAATTTCAATGGGCGGCCTCGATACGGCCGATGTTGCTCTTTTCTGCAAAACTCGCTTTATTCAATAGGATTTCTGAGGCCTAAAATAGGCATATTTTGAGTCTGCATCACACTTGAAAAAAATTTGGCTGCGTTATTTGGAAGTTTAAGAAAGAATTTCCTATTAAAAATACTGTACGCCGATATAAACTACGGCCTAAAATCCACGAGAACACAAAACTATGTTTTATTGTTGCTTTGAAAAATGATTTAATAGCATATTGTGCACCTTAAGCCATGGAGCGGAAACCGTTGCACACAAACGTGATGATCTATTTGCTGTTGTTCGTTAATAACGCCGGTAGTGTCATTTTTTAGGCTAAAAGTAACTTCTTTCATAGTTGAAGGGAGAAACTTTGCTACAGACAACCTATTATGCACCAGTCACGGATTCTTTTGATCTTTGACTACAGGCAAATATGCTCACGAAAAAAGGAAGTTGAAACGTGAAGTTTTCGAACAGAAATGTAGTTTAAATCTTGCTTTGTGCCTATTCGGCAGTCCCGGCAAGATTAGAAACCAATTCGTTCCAAAGAAACCATGAGTCTAGTCCTAGTGTACTGCGTGAAAAGCAAGATTTTGGAAGCAAAGCTAGTACCCATCAACTCAGTCAACTTTGTAGAATTACTCTTAGGAATAGGCAAACTTCTGTTTGTTATTAAACTCGATAAGCTACTTATTTAGCTGTCGGTAGTGTTATTTTCTAACCTTGAACTGGCTGACCCCTCTCGACGGATCGCTTTGTCCAACCAATAGTGAGACTGTCACATTTTTAGCAAAAGC